GTGAAGCCTGAGTACAAAATTTTGAAAATGGGCTTGTTTCTGAACAAAGTATTGTCATATTTTTTTACCCAGCCCTTTTCAGAACAACAAGAGTAAGAAATGGTGCGGAGATCACTTTTTGAACTATCGTGGACTTTGCCGAGCTGAGAACGTCCGGGCTCAGTTGATAAGGCTGCTGCGAAGATTCGAAGTGCCACTGGTCTCGGTACGAGGGCAGACCGGTAAGTGACTCACTTGGGGTCAGAAAGTCCTAATTGAGGCAATCTTCGATTTCAGATGCCGCGACGAAGATAATACGATGTCTTGTCTCTGGTTTCTTCTCGCAGGCGGCAAGGTATCATTACACTGGGAAGTATGTAACGGTCAAGGAGGAATTTCCGTTCAATGTCTATAAAGGATCGGTGATAATGTACAAGAAGGACTACCCAAAGTGGTGAGCGTGATTATCTTGTGACTCAGCTAATGGGTGAATATCACTAATAGGGACCTTTTGACCACTTATTGACGCGTTCACTTTCAGGGTAATCTTCACAGAGGCTATGCAAGATTCAATTCGAGATGTTTCCGTAATTGAGCCTCACTGGTTGTATGAACTCGCTCCACATTATTATGAATTTGGCACGGTGAGCGTTTCGGTCCTTTCGGCGGGTGGTGAAATATTTCGAACTCCTCGAAGCTCAACCAGTTTTGATAGGCCGACCACATGTAGCGGCTGATACGATTATTAAACCATTTGCCAGTGAAAATTCCGTCCTACGCTGCCATTTCGCCAGCAGTAGAAGTAGATCATAAATGAGAGCTGGGTGGCGCGCTGACAGGAGGTGAATTTTCCCAATGCACAGGTTTTGGATAAGATCGTTACGAGGTTTTGTTCTTACCTCCAGTGAGAACTAGATCCTTCCTGTCTGGAGTTTAGAGGGGGTGAAGCCGTAGGCTCGACGCAGTAAGTGTCGTGATGATTCACGGTCTCGCTTATCAGGGGAAATGAGCCTGCTTTCTCATGCTTGTTCTATATGTTATGCTTTCAGGACAGCGAAGTGGCTAGAAAGCGAGCAAGAGAGAATTAATCAGGTTGTTGTATAAATTGATTGGATTGTATATGATATAATTAACAGTGTAATAAAATGTTTATGATTTCCCTCATGACAATCTGACGGATTACGTAGTCGCGTGTTTTATATTGTGGATTAATGTCTCTGGCCCCAAACACATGTAACTCTCCATTGAAAGGAGGAGATTCGACGAATAGATACCGGGGAAAAAGGTCGAAGAAAGGGAAACTGACCTAGTTGAGGGACCCACGGACCTCCTGAGGGTGCGAACTGACGCGCAATTTGCATGGAAAAATTTGACCACGGCGACCTATCATGCGTCAAAGCTGGCGGGTTCGGCGATCTCCGCATCTAACTTCGCCCGATGTTAATACATTGGTGAGTGTATAAATATGAGAGAGCGTAGTGTTGAAGAGGGCACAGCGATGAGAGTCGCATCAATGCTCGAATCAAGGCAAGGAAGGGGTACCATTTCTCGGGTTCTGGGCCGTTTCTCATGGTTCTTACTTTTTTCGTGTACCACTCACCATCCCTAGGATTAATTTGAATGGGTTGTTTTTTCATCGTAAATCGTCTCTAAGGGGTAGGTACACTATAAGGCGCCTGATGGAAACGAAAGTGGAAGTGTTGCTTAGTGCAAGAGTGAAGAGGAAATCAGAAGTAACGGTCAAAACTCTCGAAATGGGGCTCATTGTTGGTCTTTTACTTTCACGCTAGACGAGATTCATTATAGCTGTGTCGTATAAATGTATGGCTGCGAGTCCCTCTTAAGGTGGAAAAATTGCCGATGTGTGAATGATAGAAAAACAGCTGGAACTATTGAGTGGGCTTGGTGGCGGAGGCAATCCTTGTCACTGGCGAAACCCTGATGGCTACGCTTCGGGCTTGCTTTTCCGCGCGCAACGCTTCACGACTCCGAGTTGTTTTGCCGTTAGGATCTAGCTCCCTCCATAAGAGTAGCTAGATTTTTGGCCTGCTGCAAATCCACCGTTTATCCATTGTCTTACAAAGGCAAGCAATTGTGATGAAACGGATGCACGTAAAAGACAGGTATCGGCGAGGCACAGGGTGGGCAAGAATTACGGTAACAAGAGCACTATCAAAACACCTCTATTCCCTTTGAACCGAATAAATGCATCAGGCTGAACAGACCGCGGAGAGAAATCATTGGACACACCAGCAAGATAGATCGCGTGTACAAAAAGCAAATACTGTGCAATAATTGTTTTACAGAACTTTCCAAATTCATGACATTAAACGGGTGCCAACCTTATTCTCCTGTTTCAAAGCAAGTGGGTTATATTCAGTGGAGTCTACTGAAGACGATGGACTGCTACAAGTATCACTAAAACAATCGATGAATTAAAGAAGATCCCAGGGAAAGCTCGATGTCACCTACCTACACAACAGGCCCGATGCGTTTCCGAAATGAATTCACGCAGATATAAACACAGAGAGCGGTCAGTCCAAAAATAAATACCTATGAAATAAAGTATAAGTACTATGAATGATTGATAGGTGGCCAATTTTTTACGTTAATTTGTCCCACCCTGTAGAACAATGTCATGGTGACTAAGCCTTTTGCGGCAGGAGCGTTCTTCATTGAGCCCTCGAATTGCATTAACAACGCCCTGCAGTACGATGGGAGGTCGTTCAGGGCGTGGAGCGCTTTCTGAAAACGGTTTTTTTGCATGGTATAGGGGCGTGTGTACTTAAACACAGAACTATGATCCATTTCCGCCAAATGGCCCTCTGAAGGCCAAAAGGAGTGGAAATAATTCGTCAGAAACTGCAGTTTTTACACTTCAATGTAGTGTGTTTCATGGCGTGGCATCTACTCATGCGGGTCTTGTAAGTTTGAATCGTAAACACCGAGGGTGCGCTCAAACATGGGAGTTGTGTGTTGTGATGTCGTGCTTGTACGAAAGAAGCGTGTTAAAGTTCTGATAAGAGTATTTGGGTCAATCACTTCTAGTCGTCGTGGCTGTGGTGTTAAGACAGTTGTAGCTTTCAAATGGGCGCTGTCGGTTGGGTGGTTTCAGTTCCTGAGGCTTCGCGCTTTTTGCAATTTTCTGTTGGAATTTTTCAGGATGACTCCCAAATAGAAATCGATTGGAAACATCATACAAGAGTTATCAGTGCCCTGACGAAGTACTAACATTCGTTTTTAGCGCATACATCATTTCGACCAGGGTCAACCTATCTGTTACTCTTTCGGAAATTTTTTAGACCCCCCTCAGAGATGGTTTTGATACGACCCCACCCCCCCTTGGTAACACTTGGAGACAGTGCTTAACACACACAACAAGAACACATCAATATTTATTTCTACTTAAGTCATTAAATATGAAACTTTAGCAAAATCCACGACAGAAATTCATCGCTGCTTGCAAACACGAAAAAACGATATGCATTCAAAAATATCCGTGTACTCCAAAGGGTTACCAAACTAGGAGATGAAATAAGCTGAACCAGTGACCGTAATATTGACAACATTACCTGATAAAAACTTATAAGAAGTCAGAAAAAATTATCGCTCCAATTGAAATAGTGAAATCCTTCACGTTCTTCAATTGCAACACAATTTTTACACCCCTCTTTCTAAGGCTATAACTTCCTTCATATTCGAGCTTCTGCGCCGAAGTGATTTGATTTGGAAAATTCAAATTATTCTCTCTCCAACCATAGGTAAAAATTCTTCGAAAGTTAATTTAATAAAAATTTAGTACGTTGTTACTTTTTTCTGTGCAAAGCGACTTTTTGACCTTCAAATGATCATAACTTCTTTCAAAGTCACTCATTTGGGAAGCTGAACACGTATAATAAACTACAGGATTCAAGCTTTCTAAGGAGCACCCAAGCGTTCCTGAAAGATCAGTAGTTCAAAAATTAGTCCCGTTGTTACTTTTTTGGGGTTTGCGTTACTATTTTTTTGGAACCGCGACTTTTTGACCTTCAAACGATCATAACTTCCTTCAAAGTCATTCATTTGGGAAGCTGAACACGGTGTAATAAACCACAGGTTTCAAGCTTTCTAAAGAGCACCCAAGCGTTTCTGAAAGATCAGCAGTTCAAAAATTAGCCCGTTGTTACTTTTTATTTTGTGGGGTATTCTTCAAGCCATTTTCTCGAAAACGCGAGTTTTCTTAGGTTTCACTGCCCGTAACTTCTTGGAAGACCAATGTAATGTTCAACTTAGGATGTGCTAGAAAGTATCGAGCATGCGCTTGCACTACGTTCCTTGCCTTGGTGCGCGCCACGCCTCGGGCGCCCTTCTAATTCGCTGATTCATTTGAAAGCTCATTTAGAGGGAATCGTGGTTTATAGATGCTGTATCAGTCATCTTACGAAAACGTAACGTGCTGGCTATTATCCGATATTACCAAGAATCCCACTGTCGGCCACCGAGAGGGTACGACCCCCCTCCCTCCAAGCTCAACTGAGTACGACCCCCCGTTGTTACTCGTAACAACGTAGGGTTGACCCTGGTTCGGACTCCAATGATGCTGTTCCGACGGCACGTTGGTGAAATTTTGGCCGTTCACAACTTTCCTCTCACCAGTTTTCGGTATGAGCCCACTTGTAAGGGTTTTTTGTAAGCCTAATTATAATTATGACATCAATTCCTGGTGTTGACGTTCCTTTGGTGCCAATTTTGTGGCGTCAAATCACAGTGCAAAAATTTTGTCACCGCGGGGAATCGAACCAAGGACCACTTTCCACCCTTTTTTGGCATTCAGTGGGCCATTTAGCGGAAATGGACCACAGTTCTGTATTCCAGGCACATGCCTCTATATCATAGGAAAAACCATTTGTAAAAAGCGTTCCACGCCAATTGAACACCTCCCTTGTCAGGTACGCCCACTGCCGTTTCGTTGGAAGGGCAATAATTCGGCGAGTGTTGATATTAAAGCGTTATCTTATCGATCAGATTGCACGATGAGCGTATTGCTGCGAAGCATCTATCGAAGCGGCTTATACTTAGTGATCTCTTGATGCATGATGGTAATTTATGAAGTTACCTGATAGCTTTGTGTTGAGTGGTAAACTCTTGTACTCTCGCAGGTCACGCGAGCGAATATATTAACTTAGAAATTTACCACCCTTCCTGTTTAACCTTACGGAAGACCCATTTGGGTGACAGTGGGCTGCAAAGTGTAAACGCAGTGATAAAAAAACAAAAAAAACTGTGCGACGAGTACTAGAAACAAGGTCCTCTCTGGCGGCGAAAGCGCAAAATGCAAGTGATTTTTTTGATGAGGGGGGGTAAATGGCGAATGGGCAAAGCAAAGGTGAATCTTTAGACCTTAGTGAGTCTAATCAAAGCAGTGGCGGTGAAACTCCAGTTCGGGGGGGCCACTCCATTGCTATCTTATCCGTAGTACTAGAGAGCAGTTCTTTGGGCTATCGAACACTACGGATAAGATAATAAGTGAACGACTCATTTCGAGCGTACTTTTGATAAGGACCGGTGGATGTCCTACATTCCACACTACCTGCCCACATCCCATCCACTTTTCTGCACAGGTGATCCACCCTGGAGCTCCTGCACTACCCTATGCGGAGGTGTCCTTCTCCTGGCATGACGTCCCTGTTCTCTTGGCAGCGGAACGTGAAACGTATTCAGTGTTTTATCACCATTAACGGATCACTTATCAGAAGTCTACTCAATGGAGTCTTACGTGGTAGTGAGCTCTAATCCTTATCTTGTCTTGAGAGAAAAATGGAGATCGGCCCCCGAAAACTGGGTTTGACCAGCATGCGTAACAGATATGAACTACATGCTCGGCGCTTGCTTGCTTCCGCTATGACTGGCTCACGCAAGGTTTGATTCTTCAAAAGCACGAACTTTGCCATAAACGGAGATCCATATAGTAGCCGCGAAGTCCGAAGAAGAGTGAGTTTCACCTAGTTTATACGAGACGCGGGTCCTGTAACGAGTGACTACCGACACGCGATTCGCATTTATGAACACGCCCGCGATCTAGCATAGCCTTCCCGCAGCCCAGTTGACGCGCTTTTGGCCCGGTACGCCCTCTCTCGCGTCGTCTCATGTTTGAGTCTCTAGCCGTTGAGCAGAAAGAGCGTTAGCGTTGAAGAGAGCAGCACGATGAGAGTCGCATCAATGCGCAAATCAACGGGCAAGGAAGGGTCCCATTTCTCGGGTTCTAGGCCGTTTTCTCGGTTTTCTTTTCTTTCTTGCATCACTGACCATCTCCAGCTTTATTTCCAGGGGCAGCTTTTCATCGTAAAATCCGCTCATAACATCCGCTCATAAGGAATGTAGGCGTTATTGGGTGCACTCGTATCGATTTTAGGTACAACACACATAACACGTTCTTGATATTGACACGAGAGCATGTCCCAGTGGAGTTATCCATTTGTGTCGAAAGTAAGCTCTCAACAAGCTTCCCAAACTGCCAATATACTGTATTGATGGATACCCGATAGGAGGCCCGTCGCGCGGCGAAAAGGCAGAGACGCAGATTGGTCAGCGGACGAGTCGCAGCGCGTACTGTAGCGATTTACCATCAAGTCAATAGTATGTAATATTTTGACTTGTACTGGTAGCGCACTTGCCCGGAAAGCGAGAGGTGCGGGTTCGAGTCCCGTCTGGGGCGAAAGTTTTGTTCACAACCCAGCATTCTTGTGAAACATTCGCAAGGCGAACTGCGGCCAAAAACAGCAGTTAACAAACAAAAACAAGTCCCGTTTGGATCGAAAGTTTTGTGCACAACCCAGCATTCTTGTGAAGTATGTACTATATTACGTCCCACATCGCACAATACGCGCTGTCCGCCGGCCCGTCTACGTCTCTGCCTTCTCGCCGTGCGGCAGATTGCTGTCGGATACCGCTGTACTGATTGATCGCAAGGTTTAGACCCACTCACCGCATACGAGGATTCCACCTTCGTCAGAGATGGAGAGTCTAAACGTAGAAGTATTGCCTTTATACTCGGCGGACACATTGAAAGATACATATTCGGTGAAATAGGTGAGCTTCGTCTTTCAACTATTCGTCTTTCTGGTCTTCTCTGGATTCTGAAACTTGGAGTTTACACGGTCGCAGAGCAATTTGGGGTGTGGAGTTGTAACTCGGTTTCAGATTAACTCAGATATTTATCAGAATATTTTGAATTAATATTATATACAACAGGGCACACTATGCGTTCATAACAATAGTGATTAATCTTTAAAAAATATACCTCATTAAGGCAGTGTAGTAAATTTGTCGCAGTAGCGTTATCGAAGCGCCCCGCACTTTTGAAGTAGGCAACGGCTGGTGTTTAGCGCTTGTTTCTGCCGCGCGTCGCACAAACTGGCCGTGCGCGATTATCGGGTCGATAAAATCGCGCGGCTATCTCGCATGGGGTACCTGACAGGAGGACTGTTGCGCGGCGAGAAGGCAGAAACGCAGAGGGTCAGCGGACGAGTCGCAGCGCGTGTGTGTGATGTGGGACGTACTGTAGTACATTCTATTAACTTGACGCGAAATCACTGCAGTACGCGCTGCAACTCGTCCGCTGACCCGTCTGCGTCTTTGCCTTATTGCCGCGCGACGGGCCTTCCTGTCGGGCACCCCTCGCAATAGCAGTTTTGTCGCGCACGGCAAGCGGTGAATTTGCGCGGTGAGCGGTGTGACAAACGGGTACCCGACAGGAGGCCCGTCGCGCGGCAAGAAGGCAGAGTCAGCGGACGAGTCGCAGCGCGTGATGTGCGATGTAGGACGTGCAATGGACATTCTATTTGACGCGAAATCACTACAGTACGCGCTGCGACTCGTCCGCTGACTCTGCCTTCTTGACGGGCCTCTTGTCGGGTACCCTGAATAAACACTACACATCCAGATGCCAGATGCGACACTGGGCTGGTGATTGTCTATTGCTTCCTGAAGGTCTGCTTTACAAAAGGCTCACAGCCGATGATAACGTGGCGTAACTACAATTTCGGTGGGTATGGGGTCCCTCGTTTCGATGATCCATACGAGCTCATCGGGGACGACGATCGTGGTGAAGCCAACATACGACAGTCTTGTAATCGACTGTCCAATTCGGCGATCAGACGTTTCATTTCGGTGGTGTGAACGTGGGCGTATCTGAACATAAATTATTTATGTTGAGGTGAAAATGGAGTTAGAGGGGCCGCCCCATTCCGATTTGCGGCTCTAACCATAAGGATCAAGATAAGGGCGTTGATAACGCTAAGGAAGAGATAGCTTTGATAACACCTCGATTGGATGGGCTTTTCGGTGAGGACTGACTGAATCTGTCTGCAATGGCGCAAAGAAGCGATTCTGAACCAAGAGCAGGATAATATTTGCTAGACCGAGGAGATTTAGAGTGATAGGGTGGATGGGGTACACCATATGTAGCAAAGAAGTTTAGAGGATGTGGATGATGCTACAGGTCATTCCATAAATTACTTAGGTGAATGAACGTGTTATCAAAATTCTTGAGCTTAGCGCTAAGTGTCCTTATCCTTTTATTGACTCTTCTGTAGGGAGCAGAGCAAAATGGAATGGCCCCCTCCAACTCCATTTTCGCCGTTAAAGATATCATGTAGTGGAGAGTGGAGCTCACCTGTCTCGCCGCTTGTACAATGTATGCGTCGACAAGTCCTCGAGAGAGCACCTCGTGGTCTAAAAGGAGCGGTATTCGTTGAATTTACTGACTTGATTCTAGAGAATATGGAATTAGGCCAGCGATTGCCTCTTCGCTGTCTAAGGGAGTGTCTTACTGAACAAGGAATACGGTACCTTCCCGTTCCTATGAAACGGGCACAACGGCGACTTGGGTCGAAATCCACTGGAAACCTGATCGGTGAAGCTGAGATAGGAGCAGATCTCGCCGTCATGCCAGTGTTCCGACTTGAAACGGTCGACAACGATGTTGACCTAGATCAAACAGTTGATCAGAGCTGGATGCATTTTTTGCTGATGGCATAGAAACAGTACTTATTCAGCCGCTCTATCGCAAGATACGGGCGCATCCTCTAGGACTAAGCCTAGGGGAGCAGGAATACCACGGATAATGAGAATCGTGCCCTGAGACTTTTCGTCTCCGCCTAAAAACTCTCTCGTTTTCTAAAAATGTCTCACGCTGTTCCAAATGCATTGCCGGCGCAATGCCCCCTATCTTGCGATAGCGCACTTGTTCATTATTTTTCGCATGAAAGCCATGGATCAGATGGCTGGAGGGGACCATATGGCAGTTTTGATGACGCTATTGGGCGTCTTTAGGTGGAAATGTTTTGATAGATGGTCCCAACCGCACTCCAAGCTCGCTGAATGGGCTCTAGTCCACCAATGACGTCATCAAAACCGCTCCCGCCTTGATCTCTTGCCTCTTATGACTATGCTCATCAAGGACTTACTAGTATACAACTCACAATTTTCGAAAATTTGACCGCTGCAGTCGCATATGTGATGCGTACTGCGCTGCGCGAGGAGGTTTGCTGGGACGATGATGCCACCGATGGCGTCGTGACAGCGCTGTGCTCTGCCTGGACGACGACCGGACGCGATTCACAGCGTGAAGGTGCAGCCACTAGCGGTGTTCCCAACAAAAAGTTGCCGCCACCACCACCCCCAGCTCCACCGCCGTCTATAAGCTTTATCCGTTAATGATAGGGGAGGGAGGCACAAAATAAAAAAAAAAATAATTTTTTTTTTTTTTTTTTTTTTTTTTTTTTTTTTTTTTTTTTTTTTTTTTTTTTTTTTTTTTTTTTTTTTTTTTTTTTTTTTTTTTTTTTTTTTTTTTTTTTTTTTTTTTTTTTTTTTTTTTTTGATTAGGTAGTCTTCTGATCGAAACATTCACACCTAGTTTCGTGGCCGTCTAAAAAACAGATCAGAGATCTTGATTGTGAACCTCCTCTCACAACATGGTGGAAGGGCTCCCCCAATCACCTTTCCATAAGGACTCGCACCAAGACGGCCTTTCACTGTCATGGGCTGTTGTGGAGCAAACTCAAGAGCGCTCAGTAATGAATGGGAGGGGGTGAGGTGTGAAGTGATAAGCGAAAGTGAAAAAGAGGCGAATGATACCATAGAGGCACCAAAGATTAAAGGCCACCGGCTCCGAGATAGGGCGCTCGCCTGCTCCATCCCAGGGGGTAAGTAGGACAGGACGGAACCAGCGTTGATGTCGGCGCCCATTTGCCTCTTGAAACGTTGCCGCGGCAAATGCGATAAAGGCCGGACCCGCAACTCACGCATGGTCCGCAAGAGCCCCACGCTGTCCGTGCGGCGCTGCCTTGAAAGCGGCGCACTGCGCATTTTAGGCGCCGGCATTGCGATCCAATCGTCACTGGCGCTGGAGCAAGTAGAGTGGGGTTTCCGTGAAAATTAGGCCTACACGCCCTGCTATTCCAAGTGGAGCGGCCTGGATGAGAGGGAGCAGGGGTCTCTGTGCGGGACGTAATCGGTGGCTTCGTTTGCTTTCCTTCTTACTGAACGCTTTTTCACACCTATTTCATCCCGAATCTTGCCTTCGAAGGCCTCAGCTCTCTATAAGGTCGGGTATGGTACGACGGAGATCAAGAGTGAGCAGAGAAGACAGAAAACGCGAGAGCAAGCCCGGCAATGGACAAAGAGAAGCCGTTGCGGTTGCCTCCAAAAGTTCCCGGTCACGGCCGTTAACCGGGGAACGCTCTAGAGCTCTTGTCACGCTCTGTCCAGCGAAAAAACTGGTCAAAATGGCGCAGCAACGACGCAGCAACCGCTCCTTCCTGCTCTACTGTGGGATAAGTGCAGTGCTGGACCTTCAGGTCCTTGCCAGTTGAAGCACAATAAGGCAAAGAAATTCCACGAAATTCAACGAAACCAGCATTTTCGTTTTTTCTTTTTTTTTCAACCCGTGAGGATAAACTGAGCAGTTCTTTCGTCATATCCAACCTTGGCAATTTTTTGGTCAATGGACAGGGTATTTAAGGGTGAAGGCTGCGCTAGAGCTTTAAACAGGGTCTAGTGATCTAGTAGCGTGTCAGGAATCGACCAGGGTTCGGGAATAATCAATCACTCGATTTCATTGCTCAGCTAAACCAGAAACCGTACGACACTGACATACTGTATCGTAGCTGCTCGCACTGAGTCTACGCATGGCTGTTAGTAACGGAAAGGGATCGTACCGTACGGCACACTACAACTGGTCGTGTAGCTGTCAACATCGCTTGTTTCTGTCCACGCTTCTTCAAGGATCGGACCGAAAATGAAGTCTGTTTGGGTGGCTTTGTGTTTTTGTCGGAGGCGATGGTGAAGTTCCTCGATCAGATGTTGTCGGTTCCGCCTCTTTGCGAATGGTATCACCTGAATCTCAAAGGTAACAAATCCGGAATAACTATTTGATGTGTAGTACCTAATCCAAATAAGATTTTTGAGTGCGCAAGCCTGATCCAGTTCATCTTTGCCTATATACCAATTTGAAACACAAAACTCAAATGATTCCGTCGATTCTCTCCATTTTTTGTACTTTTACATTTTTCTCCTTTGTTCTAAGCAAGGTGTTCGAACTCACTTTTGCCAAATTCTGGCTAGCTTTCCCGGCTGCTTGTCTCGCTGGTGCAAGTCCGTTTCGCAGACGTGATTTGCGCTTCTTCCATACTCGCCACATTTCGATCATACCTAAAAATTAACAGGTACTCCTTTGAAAATATCTAAAATTCCAGGTAATACGAAGTTACCTATAACATACAGTGTTGGATTTTGGGTGAATTTTTGCTGTTTTTTGACAGTTGTTTGATGGTTGTAGCTGCTTCCGCAGTAACTTTATTGTTTATTTTCCGCCGTCTTAAAGGAATCCTTCCCGGAAAAATCTTGCATTCTTTCCCAACACGCATATGTCAGTTGTGATCACTAGGGACACGACAAAGTTTCACGCACAAAGATTCGGTTTCCGAAGAGGAACATTTTCCAGATTTTTGTGCACCTTCAAGCTGAGAATGCTGAGGATTTCTCAACGTTTGAAATGGCCTTTTTCTTTTTTTTTCGAAATATAGAGAAACACCTGAAATTCGAGAATTCGAATTATTTCCATTACCCGCAATGGTTATAGGTGACCTGGGGAGGCCGGGCAATGAAAGAATCGGGTTAAAGCGTGCGATTTTGGAGAGTAGAGACAAATCGATCGATAGAATAGGATGTAGAAGTGTGAGATGTGAATGCAATAAGTCAAAAGGCCAGAAAGAGTTCTCTAGTGACGGCACTCCAAGAACCAAGTGGAAGCATCCCGTCGCCAGCATTTGTGACAGATGTCCGGCGGGACTTTGAACGCGTAGGTTTTTCGAATTTTTACCGAAACAAATGCAATTTTTTGTTCTTTTCGTTCTTATCGTGAACGATGGGTCCCAAGCCAGTGAATTATGGGTGAGATAGAATCACGATTTTTCCGAGAAGGATTCCTTCAATGGCTTACTCGGACCTATCATAAGCGTTCCTGTAGATCACTATTGCTTGCTTACAGCACAAAAGATCCTACAGAAACAAACTGACCAGATGGGTCACGTGGCCACCTCTATTTTCCTCCTAGTTCTCTGTTGAATAAGGTCGAGCGCAGACGGTCAGGGGCTACCACAAAGGTGGCCTTACGGTGCCACGCGGCCGATGTGTACTTGAGCCTGAGGGATGAGCACAGGTTAGCGGCGGGGTCAGGGGAGGTGGTTGTTGCGTGAGCCACCTCTCTTGTGGCAGAAGTTTAGCCTGCGATGGCACCATAGTCGTGATATGCTGTTCAGGCGATAGAGACCAGGGCGGAACATTGACGCTTTTTGTAAGACCGGGTTCGAGTATGTAGTTTGTAGATCGACCAGTTCGGTACTTTCAACATTGTGAAGTTCGGTAATGCCATGGTAGTGGGCCATGTTTTGAGTACCCTTTTATTTTCAATAAAAAATAAATGTTTTCCTTCCTCATCAAAAATGGAACCCTAAAGGGATAGAAGTCTGGATTCAAGGTAGTGCAAAACTTAGGTCGCCTTCGTCGTTCACGAAAAGACTGTTCACTTTGCTACCCAAGCTGAGTACTATGTTCCGCCTAATTTCCTCCCTAACATCGAGAGGCACTCCTAACTTTATGCATGTCGTATGTGTCTACGAACCGCCACTCACAACTGCACTATCGCTGAGTTAACCAACCACTTGGTAGTTTATGGTGTTGAGAAATACTCGCCTAGTACATTTTGAGGCCGGTGTTAACGCGTGAAAAGGCCGCCCCCCATTAGGAATCATGGCACAGATGGATGGTGGTGCAAGGATGAAGAAAAACTGAGAAATGGTGAGGAACCGGAAAAATAGAACTTCTTTTTCGCCTGTTAATGCTGCACTGATGCGACTCTTACCAATGGTGCCCTTTTCAATAAGCTGATGCTCTGTCCTTTAAATATTAGGTCGGTCCACAATTTTTGAGAACCTTTGGTGTTTTTCGATTTATTACTTATCTTATTTCTCTGATCTACTTATCCAGCATAGTATACATCATTATTATTAACAACATATCGCCAATGCGAGGGTGGGTATTCAGTGCCTCTCTTGTGGACTTTCATAGAGTTCTGATCGAAGGAAAATTGTAGTCCCGAATCAGTTCTCAACCCAATCTGACATCATCAAGTTTCCTGTTGGTTTCCTATAGTTCCTTCGGATGACCATCTATAATACTCATTGGTGATGTGGACTGGGTGCAGTGTGCTAACAAATCCACGAGCCGCAGTAGATTTGCTCAAACGATTCGGGAGTTCTGACAGTACAAACCCAACTCCCTCTGAATTCGAACTTCCTGAGTCGTTGGCGCAATACGGGAGGGCCTTTGCGCTGAAGACCGGCATCAACTAATACCAGTGTCAGTGATGGGAAGAATCGTTGACAGCTTGATGGCAACGCCTTCAACTTGAAAGCAAAGGAAGACAAAATCTATTTTTTTTTTCTGAGGTCGTTCGAGCCCGCCTTGCTAAGAAAATTCCTAAAAAATTGGAGACTCTCGGGCGGTCAGTTCTTTTAGCTCCGCCTTGTAGCACTAATCCTGCGTCAACGAACGACTATCCGCTCTCCTCTCTCAATCACCTTCTGGAGAAGAAATCTCACTTGAATCACCATAAAGTCAAAATCGACATCCAATATTTCTTCGATCAGAACTCTATGAAATTCTACAAGAGGGACACTGAATACCCACCCTCGCATTGGTTATATGTTGGTAATAATGGTGATGTATACTATGCTGAATAATACATCAGAGAAATAAGATAAGTAATTAATCGAAAAACACCAAAGGTTCTCAAAAATTATGGACCGACCTAATAAAAGGAAGAAAAAAAGAAAAAAAAACGTTGAACAATGAGAGGCTTCGTTTGTTTCTAAATTCGAGTATTTTTTGATGAAAGCGGCGCCACTGGCCCCGAAATGAACGGGAGGAAGTTTGTTAGAGGGGGTGGGGGGGTGAGAGTACACCGGACGAAGGGATGCAGTCAACCTGCTTGTTGTACCGGGAGCAACAGGAGCTGCGGTAAGTGGCGGCCATAACAAGGCACTAGCGCCCTTGTTGCGCACTTTCGAGCCTCAAGAAGGGCACATTTCTTACCATTGCTCACGGTAGAGTTGATTCACCCGGCTTCATTGGCGAATATCTATTTGAGGCGTACTGTCTATTCTTTTTCTCATCACTCTTCTATGCACCCAATCCTTCGAAAGACTCACCAATATGTCCTCCTTTCAAATCGCTACCCTCAGGATCTGAACTGTACTCTTCCATGAGGGTTAGGAGTAATTCCTGAAAAGGGTATTCCGAGCTGACTATTCACAGCAACAAAATAGAACAAATCAGAATGCTTTCCCACCTCAAATAGCTTCTCCAGTTTCACTTGTATCACATTGATGCACATGGATACCAGTGATAACCCGACCATAATGAGGCCGAATATGATGAACATGTCTTCGCTTTTAGTCGGCGTCACGTCACCTGAAGGCCAGGAAAAAGCTTCGAAAGCTCAGGGATAGTTTTCTTTGCATTATTTTTTTCGGATTCATGATCTAGAATTCGTAAAAAATGAAGCCAAGAAGAATTATTGTTTAGTAGAAAGTGGATGTAAATGAGAAAGGGGAAAAACGGGTTTCTTGGCGCATACCAGTAGTGAGGGGAATAATTGTTTCCTCATGTTCTTCATCTTGTCCTTATTTCTCATTTGGTTCAGATTCATTTTCCTCCTTACTGCGATGTCATAAGTCGTGGTGTGGTGTGTGTGGGTACGGCAACCCGGGAGGTCACATCGGTCTTGTGTATGTCTCAGATCAGCCCACCCGCAACCCATGCGCGTTTTCCCTTGAAAACTACTGGCAGCTGTTGTGCAAAACTTAAGGAGACGCGCGGAGTCTTTCATGTTGTTCTCCTAGGGCATTATTGGGGGCACATTACGGGGGGGGCAGTCTCCTACTCCTTCCTTTTCTTTGCCAAACCGAATGAGCTCAATTGCATATTGAAGAGCACATTCTATTCTATCAAAAACATTGCATAGTGGCCTTCTAAACCGACGACACCAGAAGATTTTCCCACGGAAACATGGTTCGCGGTACGAGCTCAACGGGGTCGAGAAACCATAGATGATTACGACGTCTCTGAAACGCTGGTCAAAAGCCATTTTGCATAGTCAGTAGTTTCTCTTCGTTCTATTATTTCGTTTGGGAGAATTTAATGGAGCGATTATTGTAGGCCTCCTTAAGCTCGACGGTGATGACAGATGACGTCATATTCTGGAGACGGTGAACGCAGCGAAGGTGGGCCTGATTCTGCTTATGGGGGACATCTAAGGAATAATTTCGCCGTATAACTCCCAATAACAGCGGCATCCTTTGCGACGAAAAGTTTGATGATATGCGCCATAGGCAAAGTGACTCTTTTTTTTTTTGCCCCCCCCCTGTATAGAAGTAAATGTTGCGATACAGCGCAGAGTTACTAGCAGAAAAGCGCAACGGGACGATTAAAAAAGACATTTTTCTTCAAATACCCTGTCTGAAGCGGTCGATGGGTGAGGCTACTCCAGCTTATGGTAACATTCAAAAGAGGAAGGCTGGTTCTTGACCCTGATTTCTTCTTCGTCTTGATGGGGTGTATGAACACTACGGACTGCAAAGCATGCTCTGGTACGTGCTCCCATACTGGCTACAAGGTTGGTTAAGAGTTCTTGTGGAGAAGCGATCCACATTCTTGAAGACCGCGAAAAGTGAACTGCTAGACAGTTGTTGGCAGTCATTGAGCATACGCTACACATAGTTCTACAAAATACGCAAGACACGTGCTCGCATAGGCTTGACTGGGGAGGCCGGGCAGCCTACCAATCGAAAAATCCTCGCTTCCTAAGAGTTTCCTCACATAGGCTTGCGCTCGATGCCTCTCGCACCTCGCAGTCACCATATTAGGCTTCTAATACGCACAAAACAATGGTGTGAGCGTCCGACAGCGCTCAGTTTCCTCTATACTATTGAAGTTAAGCGCTCACTGTTTTCCTCCGTATGATAGAAGTTAAGGTCAAATGCACCCTTGAAACAGATGCACATAAGTGAGGAGTACAGCGTCACAATAACGTCGATCAGAAAGCATTCCGCGATCAGGAGTTGGGAGGTTGGTGCCCTTGCAACTTTATGCCTCCCCACACCATATCGAATGGACTATCAAAACAATCATGTTGAACGATGGTCCTGGGTGCATTACGTGATCCTATTCTCGCCACATGCGGGTAAGTCCAAAATCACTACTTACATCCATTTGATCTTAAAGGAATCTTCCGCGGAAAAAGCTCCGCCTCCATTACCACAGAAAAACGATACCCCTTAGGCCCCTAGCCTCATGAGCATAGCAAAAAGAACGGAACATAAGCGTTAGTTTCGATAATACTAATCCTACACACAAGACAAAATGATCACTCTTTCCGTGGAAGATTCCTTTAAGGTATCGTTTTCTGTGGTAATGAGGGCGGAGCTTTTTCCGTGGAAGATTCCTTTAAGGAGAAAACAACAACGCGAACCAACCAAATCAGTGGTCCATTTTCAATGTCCAGTACCAAACATACTGCCTGCCGTTCGCAGGGTTTCCAAAGGAACACCAGGGGCTGTTGGTCAGGCAGAGAGGCCATCCCTATGCGGTCACTGCGCCACTGTCCGGACTGGGATTACATGCCTTACAATCCTGATAAATGTTTTTGCAACTGCAGCATGTGACTGACGTGGGTCCATTCTTGCCTGTAGCAAAACCGTAGCAATCACCTGCTGCTGCGGTTGTTCGTGACCCACAACCTCCTCTTCTATAGGCACAGCAGCGGCTGCAGCCCATATTGCTTTCTTATGCGCCACAAAACAATGGTGTGAGCGTCCCAAGCGCTGCGACGTAACATTCTCCATAGTCAACGTCATCTCTCTCCCTTAGGCCGATGTCAGACTTTGCGAATCGCGCGATTCGCTAGCGTCCGCGGTCGCGTTGCGGTACCAGCCAATTGAGTGATTCACTGGCCGCGACGCGACCGCAGACGCTAGCGAATCGCGCGATTCGCAAGACATCGGCCATAGGGTTTTCAATGGCTGAGTGATGAGGTACTTATTTACAGGTTTCTGCTGTTTTTTTTTTACTTTTTCCGAGTGGTGGTTTTTCCTACTTTGCATCTTTACTTTCATGGTTATGCGACAGCATGTGTGCCTTCAGAAGAAATGTAAAATCCCAAAAACGCTCGCTTACCATATCCTATCGTCGTTAGTGAGCAGAAGAAGAAATAAAAACTCTTGAAATAGTCCCAGTCCTTCTCGAAACGTAAAAAAATCGCAGCACAGAGAAACATCCAACCGAAAGCGACACCTCAAATAGTAAACATATGCTGTTGCACAAACAATTCGTCCATAAGAGCACGCCCTCGCGGCCACGTGACAACTTTAGAACGCATAGTTCATCCAGTAAAGTAGTTGAGTACAAAAAAGTCCCGTAAAAAGCAAAAAAAGGGTGGTTGAGTGTAATCTTGCAGTGAATAATAGGGAATAAAGGGCTAGTTCCTGCTTCAGCCGAGACTGTCCTGCATTACACTAGCGACCATCCTTTGCTAGTTGATGACACGGTTAATCTTGGCAGCATCTTCCACCAACGAACCTAATGCTAGTAACAACGGCATTTCGGAGATGCGTTCTTCCTCGGTGAGTTTCAGTCGACTAGAACTGCCAGACACGAAGCACAAATACTCGGCGCCTCTGAAACTTTTAATTTTTGAAGATTTGAGCATTTAACTTTTGAAGATCTGAGCATTTAATGTACATCTCTCTGTTTGATATTCTAGCATATAAAGGGTGCGGGGGCGACGGGGCGGTGATGATGTTGCAGCAAATAGCGCTGGTTATGAAGTTCCCAGTTCAAGAGTCATATGCAGTTCTTGAAACGAAAGTTCTTGAGTGGTGGGGGGGGGGGGTGGCCATTTCAAAGATTGCTTGCTACTCTTCGAAGGCACTGGTCGCGATTGCATCTCTACGACTGTAGCAATTCTCTGCTTAACTTAGAAAGCAGAGTCTCTAAGCCTAGGTTTGGCCTCGCATTGCTTGGCACGACCGCTGCATTTTTACTCGTACAAAGCGTATGTCGTGCCTGCGCGTTTCGCGGGAAGTGATCTCTCGTGTATTCCTTCTTGTCTCTCCGATGTACCACGGCTGACATCTCAAGAAGATGAGGCCCTTAATTTTGGTGTGTTCCATGGTTTCTTTTGCATTTCCCTCAGTGGCGGTCCTCTTCGCACATCTAGTTTCATTTTAGAGTGAAATACTGATTGTTTCCCCAAAATTCTTGATTTACGGCCAAAACGATCCGCTTTTTGAGTAAACCCGAGGCTACATAAGGAAATCATAAGTACATATGATCGCCATTCTGTTCATTGCCGACGTTATGCTGCCAAATCCGCAATTTTATGAGAGCTGCTGGCTCCACAAAATTTACACATTACGAAAAAAAAAACGTCGAATGTTCACATTTTCAATCAATAATTGCTTACCTCATCACGAAATCCCAGATATGTTCAAGAGCGAGCAGAAAGAAACGCCCCAATTTGTGCAGAATCATCAACACCAAAGGGATGCCAATCACTGCGTACACCTAAAACGTTGTGCTCAATTGGATCTGCGCTAGTCGATAAATCGAACACATGAATACCGTACCATAGCGGCCAGCTTGCCCGAGTTTTGTCTTCGCAGTAATGTTACCGTATCCAATCGTGGTGTAGGTGGTCACTAAAAATGCAAAATTTCAAAGTGTAAACAAAAATAAGTGAAACCCTAGGCTGATAGATTTGTTAATTATCGAATTGTTCTATCAGTATTGATGAGTGTTCTTGAAGCTCTTGTAGCTCTAAAAATTATGTTTGAGCTTTCGGCAATAATGCCATCATCGGACCAACCCTAAAAATAAATAAACAAACAAATAAAAATAAGTGGTGATAACGTAGTGGTAGGTCTCCTTACAGCTACCTGCATAAGTGATGATTAAATTGTGCGCTTAATACGATTTGCTGTTAATTCTATGTCGTTTCCTACAGACACTTTAATGAGAGTGTGTCAAGCGTTTACCTACGCGCTCATCAAAACAAAAAAAAACAAATAAACAAGTAAATAAATAAATAACTAATTAAATTCCACTCCAATGAAAGCTGTTCGACCAGGAAAAACTAATCTGGCGCGTCAGGTTTCCGGAATGAATTTGGTCGACTAAAAGGGTCAGAATAGTGCTTATGAATCATTATACTCACTTCATGGACCATAACCAAATATCCTATAGCCGCATAGTTGACTAAATCTAAGTTGACTAAATTCAATCCTTCCCCCAGGGGGATATATCCCCCTCCTCTGATTCAATCCTCTGGGGGGACAAAAAAGGGTTGCGTCATAGGACCTAGCATACCTCTGTGTTTCTACCTGCCAGACAGTTAGAGCAGCGCTACTACCCTCCACTGATGAAGCACTCTTTCCCCTGAGGGTCGCGCTGCTCTAACTGTCTGGCAGGTAGAAACACAGAGGTATGCTAGGTCCTATGACGCAACCCTTTTTTGTGCCCCCAGAATCTGAATCTCAAGTAAAGGATATGTCCCCTGGGAACGGACTGCCCCTGGACAGAAACCCCTCAACAGTGTTTAATACCTGGCGTGAGATCCGCAATGGATTCGCTTGAGAAAGTTCATTCAGGACGCTGACCTTTGACCGATTTGCAAAGGCCTGAAAGATGAACTATTGGAATGGCTAATCTTTACCCAAGCCGGTTTCGTACATTACCCAGGTTCGTCAGTATAAGTAGAGTCATGATGAAAAATTTTAGAAATGCCAGAATATGTACTACACCTAATTCTACAAGTACCAGAACGAATAATTGGCGTAGGGTTCAATAAATGTGGAACAGTCACTATGGATAGTTCCCTGCGAATCAGTACTTAATACATGAACAATCCAAAAGTCCTAGCGCTGCCTTGTGCAACGTGTTGAATAAATTAATTAAATAATCAAATAAATTAATAAATAAAAAAGTAGATAACCTGCGAGGAACATCGCACTTCAGACAAGTCCAAATCGGTGCAGAACGTTTCCAGCTCGCAACGGCAATGTTGTATGTCCTCATGCCTCTGATTAAATCTGCAAACGGCATGAGATGAGCATCAAGTCCATCCGATTGCAGGGGCGCTCTCAATGCTCCCTTTTCTCCATCTCCATTTTTGCACCTCCATTTGCACCAATCGTAGAGATAATTGGAAAGCTCCTAGCGCTGGATGATACTAGATTTCGCCATACATTGAAGCTAGTGTGATGAACGACCAGTGAACAGAGCTGGCGAAGGCTGCCCGCGCGCGGTCGCGAAACGTGACCAGTACCGTCGCGAATGTTAGTCTGCTAATGTTTTGGCGTGAGTTCCCTTTCTTTTATAAGATTCTGCACTCGATGTTGCGACCTGCCTATTGATGTCAAATATAGTAAGTGGCACTTACGTTAACGCGACATCAGCGCGCACAGATAGCGCTAACATTGTTTATCCTAATTGACACTCACTCTTTACCAACCGAAGGAAGAAATGTTTGTTGTGCACTGTGGCTTTTTGGTGATGTTTGTCTAAATATAAACCAAATAGTTATTAGGTGGTAAATTCGAAAGTATCCGCCGCTTATCTTGGCTAACAGCTTTTTTGTTGAGTTTTTTGATGATAAGGTCACTAGCGAGAGCCCACAGTCCTTCCACCCTTCTGAAACTTACCGCAGCATTAATTATCCTTACCGGCGGCTATTGCAGGAATTCGGCGCCCATCCATCAACCAACGCAGAGCAGGAACTTGGAAAATGAAAATGCCTTTGCATCTGATTTCTCTCCTCTCCACCTGAGTTTTAGACTTTCTGGAGGCAAAAATATCTGCGCTTACAATACATCGACTAACGCTCTGCAAGTCCTGGTCAGGAGTCCCTTCGCATTCACTATGCCACTCCCGTAATGAATGGAAGTAACGTTGCGTGGCGCATGCCGAAAATGCTTATGCACGCGTAATGCTAGCACTTTATGCTTTATCCAATATAAACTATAGATAATTTCTTGAAATGCTAATGATGATATTAGCTGCACCAACCTTCTTCCGATAGAGCGGCCTTTGCCAACCCGAATTTGCTCCCTCAACGCCGATTTCCCAGCAGCGAAGAGCTAACTGAAACGACAGGATTAGACCATTTTGAAAATCTCGGAAGGCACGCTTTGCAATATCCTCGTTCACAGCTGTACACGGGGCAATGACAGCTAGCCGTCATTGTCTGCTATCAAATTTTGGGTGGCTTATTTAACACGTTGACGACATCGCGTCTTTTGGGCGTTTTTATGCAAACACCGGCGGGACCAGCGCGATTTTTGCGAGCGCCGCTCCCCAACCCGCCCCCGCCTCAATCCATAATTAATTAACCCATTGGCGACAAATGCGATTTTTTATATTTTCGAAAAATGCGTCGTAATGCACCAAACTACTGGCACCAAAAATGTTGAATCTCAAAGCAGACACTGTTGAGACTTTGCACGTTTCAAAACTTTCCCGATCGCACCCGAAATGAGCGTAAATCTTTTCGTTCGGCCCAGGGTGGATTTCGGAGCAAGCGAGGAGAACTTCAATTTTCCACTCCAGAATTGGCAAATAGGGTCGAATCCCGTTCTCTTCTAGTGAGAAGTTGTACCAGCCCTCTAGCTAACTGAAAGCAAGAAGCCAGCCGTATACACTTAAAAATAACAAGCCTTGCTTTAAAAAATCACTTTTTAGCACCGCTTATGTAAAACATTATTTAGGAAAGATATGCATGGGCCACGATTACCATAAGTACTACAACGCCTTCCTGATTAATGTGCCATTAATAATTTTAAAAATCTTGCGTAGAAGATCATCTGCTATTCCGTCCCCATATTCGACCGCGCAAATGTCGCCAAATGGGTTAAGGCTTAACTGCGTCATTTAGATGTAAGAAGTGTTTTCAATCACTTGCCGATCTGTCTCCCCGCTGTTATAGTGATTATAGTAATGGAAGATCGACCGTAAATGACCGTGTCACAAGCCAATAGAAAAAGCATAATCCTGCTTATTCCCCGCTACTAGTGTTCCAAAATCCATAGTTTGACAGTGTTGTTTGGTAAAACACATAATCTTCCTATACCGATTGGTTTGAATAGCTTCTACTATTTCTTTAATAAACCATGTTCCCGTACATGAAAAGAAAACAGAATGGAAGCCGGCAGAGTTAAGGAAATAACGACACTTAGCACGCAGAGAGAACATCCGCATTTCTTACTCATGTACAATAGAGGCTGAACCTCAAGATCCAGCACGTGATATTGTGGCATGCCGCTGACGCTCGTTGGCCACAACCACAACCCTATATGAAGATTTGGTCATACAAACCTGATCGGTATAATTGCGAAGGGCGTGAATTCGTCCGAAATTACTCTCAAAATGTTGTTTCCACATCGACTCGGCATTTTGTGGGCGGAGCGCCATCGCCTTGTGGGTCTCATTCTCGGTGAGGTAGAAAATCGACAACGTGTACCAGTAAACCGTCTGAAAACCATAGGTGCGAGAATAAGGCTGAGTTAGAGAAGCAGACACTCGCCCCTGCGTCTCTGTCTCCTGTTACATCTACAAATACCTTGTGCAATTCGTTGAGCGCGTATTTCCGATATGCTCTGTAGTGCAACTTCCGAACGTATGAGTCGTTCCTAAAAAGGAATCGTATTAATCGATTCTAGTATAGTGATCAATGTCCCGATCAATAACACTACTCATATGCCTTATTGAATTCAGTTAATCGATCATGAATACGTATAACTACGTTCAATAGCTCTTCCTTCAAAGCATCTATGAAATTGCTCTGAAAAGCCCCGATTAATTACGTTACAAACATTGCCGAAACAGGGAAAAAGGGTTATTGCTGTAGGCGTTGCCCTCGCAAGCTCCGCCCACATAAAGGCCCGATGATCAGTGCGGACACGAGTGTCCGCAATGCTTTCGTCTTTTGTACTAACCCATCGCTCGCCACACCCCGCCGTTATACCCTCCGACATGAGCCAGTTGTTAATTTTCCTAAAGGAGGATTCGCGATAAGTCAAAATAGGGGAAAATCCCTAATGGAGGGAGAGGTAGACCCACTAAGGGTGCGGACCAACGCGCAATCCGCTTCGAAGGATATACCTCGGGCGAGAAGAGATCGATTACTGGTGGAGGATATTTCCAAACAGCTGTTCTTGGTTGTGCTTTTAGCCTACTGAAGGCTTCTCCTACGGTCATTGAGTACATTTAATCCATCCGATGAAAAGGAGGAAGCGAAGGTGATCCACTAAGAATAAGCAAACTAATTCAAATATCCGCGAAAGCACAAGTCCTCTGCTCTACGTTGTGGGGGAGTCACGGCTGGGGTACCCCCCAGGAGGCCCGTCGCGCGGCAAGAAGGCAGAGTCGGCGGACGAGTTGCAGCGCGTGGTGTGCGATGTAGGACGTGCAGTGGGACACTCTATTTAACTTGACGCGAAATCCCTATAGTACGCGCGCGACTCGTCCGCTGACTTTGCCTTCTTGCCGCGCGACGGGCCTCCTGGGTACCCGAGGGCTAGCAGGGGAGAAAAGACGAAATAGCTGCCAAGGAGACGTAATAAGGCTATGCAGAGGCAACCAGCTGATCTCTGTACTTACACCACTACCGTTGGCGTGTAAATCCATGGCTCTCGAAAATAAAGGATAAAGGATAAAGCATTTGCCGTTGATCAATCCCTTTTGGGATGCGGCACGCATTCTACTTCCATTTGTACATTCGCAGTGGCATTTGAATGCGATGTGGCCTATACAATGACTTGCGGGGGCCAGCCGATGTTCAAGTCAGTGTTTTTATCCTCCCAGACAAGTCTGGTACCAATTAACCGACCCCGGAGGGATGGAAGGCTTGGTTGGCCCGGGCGACTCACGACCCAGGATTTGATCCCGGACCGCTCGCGTGGTGAGCGCGCCACTTGTCACTGCACCACTTCCGCCCTCCACTATGGAGCATTACATGGAGGAAAATGTACTATTGTCTCAGGTCCGAAAAGTACACGCGGATTTTAGCTGCTGAAAAGCAATGCAAACTGACAAATTCTCCGAAAAAACTTAAAGGAATCTTCCACGGACCATGGACCAGTGGGCGGGACCGGAAGTGGTTTTGCGACGAAATGCATGGTAGGTACGGATCCACGTTCATGGGAAGGTTTGAAGTGAATCCTGTTCACGTTCGTGCGTTCGACACGTGGATCCGTACCTACCATGCATTTCGTCACAAAAACTTCCGGTCCCGCCCACTGGTCCATGGTCCGTGGAAGATTCCTTTAACGTCGGGGGTGCCTTTAGATCTCCTTGACAATGAAAATGCCCACCTTATCCGTTAGTAGGACTTCTTCATGTGAGCGTTCAATTGACCAAAATATGAGACCGCCTAATAGCGAGTAGGCGAATAATAGAATAATAGGAATCAGGTAGTGTATTCGCGATTTCTCGTAGACCAACTGCAAATTCTTTGATTGATTATCACGTTTGTGGACAGCTGGTACCAGTTAATAATTACTAGTACGGTTTTGATCAGTATTAACAATGTTTCTACATACTACTTTTCGTTTATTTGACGTCTACCTCAATCGACCTTCGCCCGAAAGACAGGGAAGTTACAATGGGAAAGCAAAGCAGATGTCATTGCGTTGAAGTGTACTTGGATGACCAAAAAATGCTCTGAATTGCCAGGGAATGTATTTGGTATGCCGCACGTAAAACCTTGCGCAATCACGAGAGAAGCTATGCAGCTTAAAGGCAACACTGCGACAAACACTAAATTTTTCTGGGATGAGCACCCCACGGGAGGAGAGGGGCCCGGATTGAGGTTGAAGCACAAGGTAAATTATGCATTGGTAACTACATAAGCTCAATGAAGGGAAGGCTGTGGCGCCGTGAATGTGATGCTGTGGTATTTTGAGCGCAGAGTCGTAATTTCCCCTGGCTGCTGCCATATTTGTTTGTTGGTAAGGCGCGGGTTTCCCACGATTTTGGCGAAACCTCAGAACAGATCATGCTAAATATGGGCAAAGTTTACGTGTTGGAGCGCTAATACTTAAAGGAATCTTCCACGGACCATGGACCAGTGGGCGGGACCGGAAGTTTTTGTGACGAAATGCATGGTAGGTACGGATCCACGTGTCGAACGCACGAACGTGAACAGGATTCACTTCAAACCTTCCCATGAACGTGGATCCGTACCTACCATGCATTTCGTCGCAAAACCACTTCCGGTCCCGCCCACTGGTCCATGGTCCGTGGAAGATTCCTTTTAATTCGTAGAGTGGTTGTTCAAAGACACACCCACCATCCTCAACAAATAAAGCAGAGAGACCAACACCGTGAAGCATATGCACCACACGATACCTTGGCTGCCCAGTGAAGTGCATGTTGCGCCGCTTTCACAACGAAGGTGCTACCGTGTTTCCGAAAGCGCTCACGCCTCAACAACGATCCGCCCACTAGTTTTAGTTGGGCCTGGGACTGTTTCGGAGGTGCCATTAAACGCGATGTGGTGAACTTCGTTCATACATCCATTTTCGGCTGTTCCCCGTCATAAATGAAAAACAACGGTCAAAAAAAGAGGGTCCCGTTTTGCTATTCTTGGCGGATTTTCTGCTTTTTTTTCCGCTTCTGGCCGTACCATTTAGCACCACCGCGTCACACTGAACCCTTTCTTGAATTTATCGTAATCGCTGCCTTTAAGGAAGCCTTGCGGGGGCCACTGCAAGGTTGATTGATAGTGATGGAATAGGTCGTATCGGGGTCGTCTTAGGAGGATATTTTTAGAATCTACCCTATCTAAACCTTACACCCTGCGGGGCCCTATGTTGCAAACAGTTATGTGTTATAAATAGAAATCAGACGTATGTAGTCACCCGATTACTCGACGCTGGAACAATGATCCTGCCTGCCTTGTAGACGATTTTACATGTTTTCTCCCTTTATTCTCATTCATTCCCCTTTTTATCGCTTATTCAAGGTAAAGTTTGAATAGTGTTGTGACATGCATCTAAATTCCAAAATTGCATCTATGGTACTCGCCTGTACGTAGCCGAGCACTGTCGTCCATCTCGTCTGTTTGCCTGATTCGACGTCTTTGGGTCCCTTGGCGAATGCATTCCGCCATATTCGTTCGTTCAATAAAAGATGCTGTTCCACAAAATCAATAATGATTCAATAGCTAATCAATAATTAACAATCTCACCTGTAGAGCAGCACCGTCCACATGGGTAGTGCTGCGACGAACGTACGGATAACGAAGTGACGAATTCATTCTATTCGATTGCCAGCATTAGATCCTAAACAATTCAAAATAGTCAGTCTTCGGCCAATCATAATTACGATTGGTGCGATTCGTACCAAATTTGCTCGCAACATTTAAACGAGAAAAATATTAGGTTGGAAAGAAAGTTCTGCAACACTCTTTTCTAAAATTTTCTTTTTTTCTGAAAAATTCATAGGTAACATTTATGACTAACAAATGGTAGAGCATTCTCGAGGCTTCAATCCACGAGGTGGATATAAGTGCTGCAGTCAGTAGTTATCCAAGAAAATTCAAAAAACCTCGACCACTAGTAAATCCATACTCCGAGTCACTGTCTAGTACAAATGTCTCCATAACTATGGATTCGTGTCAAAGACCAACACTATCTGCAATAGCTTCAATAGGCATGTCGTTCACCGCTACAGCGTGTTTCACCTTTACCAGCGCTTTCGATCTTTTGATATTTTTATAAGAAGCCAGCAGCGTCCCTCACACTCCATTACAGGTAGGGCTCTTACGGAAGCTCCACTACAATTCTTCGTTATGGGCACCATTGTGTAGGTAGAGGTCTAGGCTGCGGAACTCCAGAAGCTGGCCGAGGCAGCTCGTCAGAGCCCTCGTACCGCGACAATATTATTTCTTTCATGACATTGCGAATCACCATGATCCGAAATGAGCCCGGTAAGAAATTCTGGAGCTGCGGCAAGATTTCTTACCTCTCTTAGCGTATTCCCCTGGTCGAGCTATAAATGACTGCCACCTATCCTGGACCTTAAATCATCATCTTGATGACGAAATAATTAGACGATCAACTCCAACTCGAAAGTGAGGTCGCCTCCTTTCTCGACCCGCACTCCGCTGGGTTTTGGAAAAGGAGCATCAAGAAATTTTCTGAGCGTTGAAGACAAGTGGTGGACACTCATGGTAGATATATGACCGGTCAGGAGTTGTAAACAAAAAAGATAAAATTAAAATCAAAAATTTGAAAAAGTGTTGCAGGACTTTCTTTCCAACCTAATTTGTGTAGGATATCGCCATCGCATCGTGTACATCCTCAGCGCTCGGGTGCATTGCGCGTTCTAGATATGGGTTATTAAAACTTTGAAGCACCTTTGCAGCTGAATTCGGTGTTATCGGCTTCCTGAATTATTGATTCTGGAATGAATTATAAGCAAAATACGAAAAAAAAACGCAAATTCCCGGTATTTCCTCAA